GGGTGCGCGGTTGGGCTCCTTTCCCTCAGTCTCCTTAACCAGCAGACCCCCAAGCCTTCAGACTCCAGCTCCCTTTAGGTATCTTGAATCCGTTTCCCCTTCCACTGTTTCCCCTTCCACTGCCCCGATTCCAGCTTGCTGGAACTTTCTGGGGACTTTGTTGGGGACTTTTTATCCTTTTATAGCTGTGATAAACTATACTTCACCGTGTGTATCATTGTAGGTGCACAGTGTAATAACACTCAGTACAAGCCCACAGCTACGTAACCATTTCCACCACCCCTCCACAGGATCTGCATGAATCTTGCAAAACCCAACCTCCGTTCGCATGAAACTCTCCTTCCCCGCCTGTCTCTCTGTCAACCACGGTTCTACTTACTGTTCCCGTGGATCTGACCGTGCCAGGGACGAGGGTGCTCTCAGGACATGTCCCTTGGGGGCAGGCTCACTGCCCTTGGGGAAATGTTTTCAAGGTTCATCCTCGGGGTAGCAGTGGTCAGAAATTCCTTCCTTCTTGGGTCAAGTGACCTCCCCGACCCTCACCACCACCTTGGCCCATCGTGTCCTGCATGGGTGGCCCCAGGCTGTCCCCACTGCCAGCTGTGGCTCACTGCCTCTGCGGACGGCACTTTTGATGACATCCTCCGTGGCTCTGGGTCGCATGGTGGCTCTATTTTTGGCTTGTTTGCTTGGCTCTGGGTTTGGGAATTGAACCCCGAGCTCGCCATGTGCTGCAGTGTCCCAGAGGGTCAGGCTATTTTCTGATTTTGGCTTCCCGTGGACCTCTGCAGCAGATCCCCTGCTGCCTTCTGTCTCCTCGTCAGATGCCTTCTCCCCCGTGCCACAGTGCTTATTTTTCTCAATGCAAATCTGATCGTGCCATTTCTGTGATTAAAGCTTTTCTATGGTTCCTGATTAGGCGGTGATGAAATTCAAAGCTGTCGTGTGGCACCTGGGATCTTTGTGATAGAAACCCTTCTCGGCCTTTTCTCCCCTCCTGCCCCCTCCTACATGTCCTGCCACCAAACTTACAAGTGACTTAATTAACCCACTGCGCAAAGCTGACTGACCCTCACCGTCTGGGCACGGGGTCAGCAGTGGGCAAAAAAGTCCTTGTCCTGGAGATTTGCCATTTGGGGACATGGGTGGTGGCGTTGGGGAGTCTATAAGCAAATGGTATTTCAGATGATGATATGTGGGTACTAAATGGCATGGTGAGGCCTAGCGGAGTTCCTGCTTTACACAGAGTGGACAGAGAAGGCCGCTCTAATGAGATGCCTTGGGAGTAGAGACCCGAAAATGGTGAGAGAGAAGAGCCACGAGGATGTGGGGTCCAGGAGACCCACCCGGCCCAGGTGGCAGACACTGCAATGCTTGGGGACAGGAACGAGGCTGTCAGAGCGCTGGGGGACCCAGCAGGGCTGTGCAGGGTGAGCAAGTGAAGCGGACGGGGATGAGAGAGGAGCAGAGAAGGGAAACCTGGCCGCGTAGACTCCAGCGGAGGAGGAGGAGGACAGAGCTTCAGGGTGTGAAAAGTCCTCTCCGGGTGCCGTGTGCGAAGCGCACACCATAGGGCAAGTTCGGAAGCAACGACTCCAGCTGGAGAAGCGTGAAAATAATCAGGCAGCGGGGAGCGCTTTGGACAGGCACGGCTGTGGTGGTGGCGGTGAGCCTGGGTCCAGGATGTGTAATCTGAGGACAGGGCAGATGGAAAAGGGACAGCCCCAACCCTACGCCACACAAGTGGAACCACCACAGCCATAGTGACGAAGAAGACTGTGAGGGGTGAGCAGACATATGCCATGAAACCTTAAGTGAAAAGAACGGTGTGTTCCCAGTGATCACGAGTCTGTAAATTGCAAAGAAAAATCTGCCAAAATAGCAACAATCCCATCTAAGTAAAAACGAAAGGTCATCAGTTTTAAATCCAGAGTGACGCTGCGGAAGGTTAGCACGCTCTGTTTGGGACCTGGCTCTCAGGGAAAGGCACGAATAAGCTGTCCTGGTGCCTGGTGCCAGCAGGCTGGGGGGACCCTGGACACAACTGCAGCCCCCATGTGACAGGAGACCCACAAGGTCACTCCGCTCATTAGGAGCAGAGCTTGTCTTTAAGGGCAGCCTGGCGACCTCTGATCCAGCAGTGCCTGGACACCCCGGTGCTGGGTTCCCCCTGCTAAAATGATCTGGAAATACACTTTCTATAGTTTACTGAAACTGTGTTTCTTGGTTGTTTGTTCAAAACCAGTATACACACAGACTTGTTTGCATGCAGAGTGTACCCTGTTTTCAAAGTCAAGGAGACAGGGGGTGCCTTCCCTCTGCAGAGCTGCGCACGGCGTGTGAATCCTAATGCCAGACCTTCAGATGCAGGAACCCGGTAAATCCCACGCGAGCATGACAAACGCTGACTCCACACTTTTTTCAGGGCCTCTGATTTATTCAGCAGGGCATGGTATTAATAACTCTTGTGGTGGTGGGTGAGCTCGCCCGGCCTGTCCTACCCAATTTGAGTCTGGAAATAAATGAAGTAAAAAACTGGGAAAGTCCCCACACAACTCCCAAAGATTTATATTTATTAGATCCCCATCAATGTCACATTCCTAATTCTAAGGTGTCTGGGTAGCTGCACAGAGGCTCTGAGCGCAGACCCTCAGCGCTATTGGCTGACTGCCTCTCGGGGAGATTTGCACGCTACGGAGAGTGAACGGTGACTCTTACAAAGGCCACAGAGCCTGCCAGGTACATTTACGGCCCAGAGGTTGGACGAGCAGGAGAGAGAGCTGGAGGCTGGAACTGTGCACACCTAGTCCCAGCCCCGGTTCTACCGCTGGGACACACTTAGTTTACACACCCCACTTTGAATGCCTAATGTTGAAATTCAGTCACGAAATTCACCGGCTCTCTACTGTGGCTGCAGGCTGTATCCATGATAAATAGCCAACTCGTGTCCCCTGCCTTGCTCGTGGGACCCTGATTTCATTTGGGGGAACAACACGCTCAGCTCAAGGCAGGCAGTGCTCTGCACCCACAGTTTCCTATCAGGGAATTCAATCAACTGCAGGTTTAAAATATCTGAAAAAAATTCCAAAACACTTTCAGAACCCAAACTCGGATTTTCCGTGTACTGAAAGCCAGTCTGCCTCCACATACACGCCGTGATATGTGGGCCCCCCGCTTCAGCCCCCCGCCATTCCCGATCCCGGACTCACCCCGGCACTCACAGATTGAGCGTCCACCTCTTATCTTGTCCAGGTGCTGTAAACAAGACCCCCAATCGCTGTGCCTGACATGAACAACCAGAGGCTCTTCCTGGTCATTGTTCCCTGAGCTGTAGAGTGGCATGACTTGGGTAGCAGTTCTGGGTGTTTGCAACCAAATCAAGGCAACACAGAGGCGACAAAGTACAGGGAGATGCGCTGGGTTATTCCAGTACTAAGCTGTTTCGCAAAAGGGCCCGGCCCGGTAGGTGATATTCAATGGAGGCCCCGGGACCGAACCCCCAGGCCCCAAGGGGCAGCTGCAGGGTCTTCTGTGCTCCCCCTCAAGCTGGATGTGGGCGTGTGACACAATTTTGGTCAATAAGGCAGAAGCAAGGGCCAGGGGATTCACAGGGTCCCTGAGGATGCAGGAAGACTTGGTTGTTGCCTGAGAGGAGCTCAGAATCTGGTTCTGTCACCAGCCAGCGCTCTGCTGGAGGCAGCCAGGGAGAGCAATGGGAGCCTGCTCGGGAGGAGAAGCCTCAGCGCAGCCTGAGTATCTCGGTGCCTCTTCCTGTCTCTTAAGTGAGAAGCCTGAACTGGATCCACTGTTCCTGTCTCGAGTTAAAACAAAATGTGCTTATAAAGGAAATCTGAAACACCAAAAAACCATATTCTATTTGGAATTTTAAAAATAGGGCATTGAGATATGATTGTGTTTGTGTGTGTTCCTGTAGGAAATTTAGCATTTGCAGTGAGAAACGAGCCCAGGGCCAAGAATGAGCTTTAACTGCAAAACTCGGCCCAGAAAGTTTAGACTTTACATCTGTTCATTTGATTTTAGACACATTAAACAACAGCCACACTTGCTCCGTGGCTTTCCTGGCGGTGGCCGTCCTCTCTGGCTGGGCCCAGCTTGTCCTGCAGATCCAGTTTCTCCTCACTCTTTACTTTTTCAAATAAATTTTGCTACCATTAAAAAACAATCATTCTTCCCTGGGCAAAACCCAAACTGCAAGGCGTCTAAGCAATAAAGAGAACTGCCGTCCTGTTCGCAGAGGTGAAGAGGCAGGACGCGGGCCGGGCCTGGCCCTCAGGGAGAGGGGCTGTGGGGACCACGGAGGAGATCGCAGCTGTCTCCCCTGCACGGACAGGGCCACTTCCCGGGAGGCTTCCTGTGATTGCGGGGCTCCCAAGGCCTCCATTCGTCCTCACAGGGCAGCTTTGTTTATGTCCTTGACAGACAGCAGCGCTCGGGGATCTCCTCAGGGTCGGGCTGCCCCAGGAAGGCTGGATTGTAGATCCAAGTAGCACTCGTCTTCCGACTGCAGAAATACCCCGGGCTGTAATTTCACCCCAGGAAGCAACGTGGCGGCCCCTGCACGGCAAAGACACCAGCGCACCTGCTGCCTCCACGACAGGGCACAGCGGCCGGTGGCCAGCTCTCCTCCTGCCCAAGCTTTGATTCCGCTGACTGTAATCGGGGGCTTTCCGCTGGTCAGGACAGGCTCACCACTGTCATGCAGAAGCTGCCACTCTCCCACGAGGAAAACTTATTTCTCACTTTCAGCACAGGAGCTTTCCTGTGAGATGTCCCCCGTGGTGCTTTCCATGTGAGCGGTAGCCCAGGGACAAGACCCTTAACACCTAGTGACACTGCCGTCGTTACCTACGACTGATGCTCCTGCGCGGGGCACAGCCAGCCTGAGGTCACACCACACACTCAACCATCACGCTGGCCCTCATTGCAGTGGCCGGAGCTGGCCACCTGACCCCAGCTAGACGAAAGGGAGGCTGGGAAACGCGGTCCTTCACTGCACAGCTGCTTCCTGTAGTGCAGGGAAGTGTCGGTCTTCGCCGTCAACTGTCTGTGCTGTGGGTTTCAAAGGAACTGGGCGTGTGGAGCTGCTCACTGCACAAAACCCAGAGTCCTTCGGAGCCTGTCCCAGGGCAGCGTTCTGCACCAAGCCTGCTTACAGAGCCAGAGGGAGCTGCGCCTGCGGAAGTGGTTAGAGCCAGAAGATTGCTTCAAGATGCGTCCGGGTGACTGTTGGTGCCCACTTTGTGGGTAGGCGCTGAGGTCACTGCCCGCTGTCCCCTGCGTTCACTCTTACCGTTTCCTCCCTGCCCCCTCCCCCAGGCTGCCCTTGCCGGCTAATGAAGAGGCTGCCAGCCCTCGCCCTGCTGCGAGCGAGCGCAGGAGGGCAGTGAGGAGGTCAGGGGTTTGTGCTCCTGGCTCTGTCCTTGCGCGGCAGCTCTGTGTGCTGTGTCTTGCTCTGCAAGGTGACTGCTGCCCTTGGGGTTCTGTGGTTCACCCAGCCTTCCCTTCTTCCACATCCAGGAGACTTCCTTTTCCCCTGGTACTGGAGCAGAGGTCTCCACCTAAAATGTTCCCCCAGGTCTCATGTGTGTGGAAGCTGATCGGACTGTGGGGAGCCTGTACTGACCAGCAGATGCGCCCCTCAATGTGTTCAGCTGCTCAATGTGCTGTGGGAGGTGGGGCCTGGCTGGAGGTGGTCGCTGGGGTGAGATCTGGGAAGTGTATTCTTGTCCCTAATCCCCCCCCCCCTACTCCTCATCCCCTCCCCCTTCCCTCCCCCTACCCTCCCTCCTGCTCCTCCTCCCCTTCCCCCATCCCGGCCTTCGTGGTGGGGTGAGCACTGTGCTCCTCCAGGCCCTTCTGCCCTGCCTTTTCTGCCTGGGAGCCAGCTGACCATGGACTGAATCCTTTAAAACCTGTGACCCAATACAAAGGTCTCCTCCCTGAAGTGGTGGCGTCTGCGGCTGCTTTGTCCCGCCAGGGAAAGCTGACCCGTGCGGCTACCTGGCTGAGCCTCAGGCCCTCTCCTCCGGCGGCCGTCCAGTCCACCTAGGGTTTGTTCTGTTTTTAGTTTCTTTGCAACAAAATTGTTCTGATTTGATTCTGTCACTTGTTTATGCTTATGTTTTTCTCTTTTAAAGTCTGTTAGCATTGTTTTCAACTCAAGCAGCAGATCTATCCTTTGTATAAACTAAAGGACTACTTTTTGACTGTTCCTAGCATTTTTTTGCTAACTTTCAGTAAGAGTCTTCCTGATTCTGGGGCCCCGTCCCTGCTCCTGCCCTTCGGGAATCTGAGCTCATCAGTGCAGTCCGCAGTCACATGCCCCTCATCACTGCTCCCTGAATTTTCTAAAAGAAGAAATTGCTAACAAGGCAAGTGGAAGATTCATCAAATGTTTTGCTTTTTGCAGAGTGAGACTTCCATCAGATATCAAAAGAGCTGAATTAGGAAGAATCCAGTACAGGAGGTAAAAACTCGTTCTGAGATTTTCTGTTACCAGAGAAACCCAGATGCACTGAGACCCAGATTCCACTGTTCTTTGCCTCTTTTTTCCTCCCTGATTATTTTAGAAGGCCACATTTTATTTTTACAGATTTACCTGTTTCTTCCCTAAGCCTCTGCCGAGTCATCTCTCTTCCTTAACTCTCCACTGTCCGAGGAAACTGTGTTCCGTTTCCAGTTCTTACTGCCAGCGCGCACTTTGATCCTGCCCATGAGAGAAGCCACTCTCCGCCCCCTGGCCACTTGCAGAGCCCTCTCTCTCCCTTTCATCTTCCTGGGCCTGCTTTCTTCTGAGGAGCTGTGGAACATAGGGATAAACAACAGATTTTTGAGTTAGTTGAGCTGGACTCAGGCCTCAGGTCTGCTGTTTTCTAGACTGACCTTGGTGAGGTCACAGAGCCAACTTTCTGTCTCTCTGCTTGTAAAATGGAGACGGGCGGGCTCCCAGTTCAGTGGGGCGTAAGTGCACCCCACGAGGAGTGCAGTGAACACTCCGTGAGTGAATTACCGCAACCCTCTGTAATTCTTACCATTGATATCTAGATGCCCCCACTCCCGGTCTCATGTACTCATGGGGACTTTAGGGAGGTGGCTGGTCATGGGGGCAGGATCCTCCCGGCTCGCTGATGAGTTTATACTGTAGCTACGTCTGGGGCTGGGAGCCGAAGTCAGGTTGGAGGACGCGATCGCTGGGGAGCGGCTGGGAGGGTCTGTGTCCTCCTCCTCCACTGCTTTCCCTCTGCCTCGGTCACCAGGCCACAAGCTGTTCCCCTCTGCCAGGCCCCTCTGCCCGCCGCCCTGCCTTGGAGCTAGCGGACTGTGGATTGAAATCCCTGCAAGCTCTGAACCAAAATAGAGCAGTGGGTGCTGGGTATTAGGGCTCAGTAATGAGGAAGTAAGCAAGGCGCACCTCTGCACACATGCCGGCTCTGGACTGGATCTGCTGTGTGAAGCGGTGCCCGTGATCTTCATGTTCCTTCTGGAATATTCTCGCTCACTCATCACCAGCTGATGCCCTTTGCTTGTTTATTGCTTTAAATGAAGTTTCTTAAAATACATATAGAAAATCAGAATCCACCAATATTTGTGGACTGCTTTATAAATAACCAGAGACAGTGCCTAGCAATGCTCACAGATTTTCTGAAAAATCAGTGGAGGTTAATGTCATTTACAGGATCGGACACAGGCAGGGAACAGCTTCACTTCACAGAGGAGCTGAAGACCGTCTTCAGCTCTGTTTTTCCCTATTCTAGTCTGACTTTCAATTTGTTCTAATCTAATGACCGTGAGTGGCTTTTTCTGGAAAGATGACAGCTATCAGAAAAGAGACCATAGACACATGACATTTAATGGGAAGGGGTAATTTTTAAAGTCAACTTTTTTTTTAAAGGAGGAAAGGTTTATTTCAGCTCACAGTCTGTACAAGGTTCAGCCCATAGTTGCTGGGTGCTTTTTTTTTTTTTTAAATAACTTATCAAAAGGCAGCACTTGCTTCAAATGAATGCAATTTCAAAGGACCTTTTTATGATCATTTGTGTCCTGATAAGGATGCACATTTGTTCAGATTATATTTACTCTTTAATTCTGTTCCTAAGGATTGCACAGCGCTCCTCCCTCCTCCATGGGGACCTGGCCCAATTTCCAGTATCTATGGGCGCTCACTTGCCTGTCACCTGCTTCATAGATCTCACATTATCTACTTCAAGTGTCTCTTTCTTTGTTTAAATTGTCCCCGCCGCATTATGTATTCCAGAGAACCGGCTCTTTTTTTCCCTTTTCTTTTGAGGTGTTATTTAACCCTGGAATCTTTGGAGTGAAAAGACCTCCAAAGTCACTCGCTTGTTTTGCTCTGGAATCTTCTAGCTGCATATAGAATATGCAAATAAACGAGAGGGGTACACATTTTTCAGAGACCCCGGGACTGGCCGGGAGTCGTGCCGGGATTGTCCCAGAGGTCCAGCAGCAGTGGTGCAGAGCCCGGCTCCTCCGCCTTCCTCACACGGGGTCATGTGTGTGCGGGTGACATCTCTGCAGCGCTAGGCAGCTTGTGGCAGCTCCAAGCAACAATCTCACCCTATAGCAGCCCCAGAACAAGGAAGGGAAAAGGGCCTTTTCCTCCTGCAGCTTTCTGAGTTATCAAGAAGGAAACACTTTTCTGTAAGGTCTCGGGAGATTTCCCCCATCTGACTGGCCATAAACATACTCACCAAACCTAACTTGGAATAGTGTCAGGAAGAAAAGAATTGCCCTGGTGGATTTAAATCATAATTAATCTCCCCAGGTTGAGCACATTGCTACCAGTAAACAGGTGAGTTCTGTTATCCAGGAAGGAAAAGGCCTGTCCCTGGCGGGGCCTGGCTGGTCTCTGCTCAGTGTCCCACTGCCCATCGTAGGGGAGGAGCCCCAGGTTCATGGAGGTTAACAGCTTTGTTAAAGACCACATACCTACAAGTCACAGTAGGCCCTTGGCCTTGTCTTCTAGAATTTATCTCATCATACTATGCTCTCCAAAGTAAATTTTAACCATAAAATTTATGGGGAGAAAACAGAAGTCAGTAGGGACCAGGTGGAGGGGAAGCGTTTTCCTGTTTTCCTGTCCTGGACTTCCAGGGTGGTGGACTTGTCCTGTCCAGACTTGTAAGGTTAATCTACCCATTCATCCAGAAAATATTTACTGCCCTCCTGAGAGTATATTAAGAATGATATTGGGTGCTAAAGATTTGGTTGATTTGGTTCCTTTACTGCCCTCTCAAACAAGAAGTGGAAATCTGGGGATAGAATTGCAAAAATATTGTAACCTGCAACAGAGATAATGCATATTTCTCAAAGTCGATTTTACTTTCCTCTTCCTAGTTACAGCAGGAAGACTACAATTCCCATCCTTCTTTGCGGTTAGGTTGATGGAATGTGCTGTTTCTAAGTCTGTCTGACTTTGTGCTCTTGATGGAGGGTTGGATCACCCCTGCTAGTTATTTTTCTGTAGTTTTCATTGTCAAACAGTATCTCCATCCTTTTCTCCCTTTAGCTTGTTATAATGTAGAAACTGAACAGCTTTGGAGGTGATCGTGAAGTCTTTTTACTCTTTTCCATGGGTTTCTTCTAACAAATGGTTTCCTTTTGCTCTACTTTGGCCTCTTTGAAATAAGGAAAGTTTTCCTTTTTAAATCTGAAACAGAATTCAGCTCTTCCATCCAGAGGGGAAGGTCTGGAAGGATCAGCCTGGTTTGCAGAGGCTCACACTCAGGCGGAGACGATGGAGGCAGAGGTTAACCCGCAAGCCAGGGTTGGGCTTAGTTGTTTTAAATCCCTTCCGGCCTTGAGGGTCTGTTTTCTCAAGTATTCATCTTACTCTGCTTCCCTGCACCAATTACCCAACGGGGAGAGGAAAGGAGAAGGCCCGAGATGAAGCTTTTACGCTCCAGATTCCTTTCCACGTTGGGTTGCTGGAAGGAGGCAGGAGGGCACCACCGTAAGGGTGAGCACAGCCTGAACACGACGTTGTTTGAAGTATTGTCTTGTGGTTGTTGAGCGACACCAGAGCCCAGCTGTGGTTTGTATCTAGATGTCCCCCAAGGCCTCGTGTGCTCAGAAGTGGGGCCTTTCAGAGGTGCTGGGTCAGGGTTGTGTGAATGTGGATTAAGGGTGTGATTATCCACTTAAGGTTTAGTTTTGTTCTGGCTGTGGGTCACGGGAAGTCCCACCCTGGGTGTGGGTGGCACCAACCGGTAGGCTTGTGGCCTGGACGGAATGAAAGGGAGCGGGGAGGCTCTGCCGCCTCCTGCCTGCCCTGCTGGGGACTGTTTCCCCGTGGCCAGGCCACCCGCCTCGGAGCCCGCTGACTGTGGACCGAGAACTCCACAAAACGTGAGGCAAAATAAACTTTCCCTCCTTTAACTTCGGAGGGTGGATATTTTGTCTCAGCAATGAGAAAAGCAACTAAGACAAGCCTGGTAAAGGACCTGGGTATGCTAGCCAGGGTGCCCGCTAGCCAGGGCGCCTGCTTTTAAATCCCTGCTCAACAGTTACAGTCACATCGTTGTGTGAGCCGCTCAGCTTCCAGCTGCTCACTGTCCTCCTCTGCAGGGAGAGAGCGGTGCTCTCTGCTCCGTGAGGTGCGGTGAGGGCTGAGTGAATGCATTTTAAATGCTAAAAATAGCACTGGGGATAAACATCCCCACACACCAGCTGCGGGCACGGTGGTTTTGAGACCTTTCTCACTGAGGCAGTGTGGCCCTAAGTGGCCATCATGACTTGGTGTAGGACAAGCAGTGCTGGACCCGGCTTCAAGAGGAGGCACATGGTCAGTCAAGTTGATTAAATTAAGTAGATTAGAGTCTTGGTCCGCTCTTCCTGATGTCACACTCACATGCACACTCTTTAATCAGAGACGTGGTTTTGTGATTGTTTCGCCTGCTCTGCTGTTCAAAAGTACTGAATTGGTCTGAAGAGCGTCTAATATTTCTGATATTGGGTTTTTTTTTTTTTTTTTGGAAAAAATGTTACATCTCTACAAGGTTGGTGCACAGACAACTTGTTAGCCTTGAAAACACGGGTGCCTGGGGCTGTGTGGAATTTATACTTCTCTCTGGCCAGTGCCATACCTTTTCTGAGCTGACAGTTCACTGTCGGCTCAGGACTCTAGAGAAAACCTTTCCCATGTAAGCCCTGGGAATGGAGTAACAGCCTTTCGATAAAGGTGCCATTAAAACGCACAGCAGCACTGAAAAGGTAGCCAAAGATAACCAGTGGCCTAAGGCAGAGCACGGAAGATGGTCCATCTGTAGGCCATTTAAACAGAACCAAAAGATAGATTGTAAAAGCTTCCGAATCTTTTGAATGAGCGCTAGAAAGTAGTTCCTCAGGCCCTGACCATGTGCTCCAGCAACACAGAGTACTACATGCTCAAATTACCTGCAACACATTTCCCTGGAGGCGCTCTGTCTGTGGGGGGGATTAGGACAGGGACAGGGGAATGATGTTAGACTGACCCTCACCCCACTTGCTCGGCTTGGTAGGAGCTAAGTCCAAAGCTCAGAGCACAGTGCAGTGTGGGGAGTCCACCGAGACCACTGCACAGGAGCCCTCTCTCTTCTCTGCTGACCCCCGTGAGGGAGCCACACTGGCGATCATGACACAGACAGAAACTGTGCTGCTGACATCAGGCTAGACCTGGGTTTGTGTCCTGGCTCCATCATTTCCTGTCGGGTCATCTGTAAAATGGGGGCATCAACAGTTCTTGCTTGAAGAGCTGTGAGAATTCTAAAGCACCTCATGGCAGGAAAGGCAGGGCAGGTGAATCTGTCATTGTAACTGTCTTAAGCGCGTCCCTGCACTCTCTGGGCCTCCGTCTGCTTCATAAACCTGAAGAAGTAGGGCTGCCTGTGCCCATTGGGGCTCAGGACAGGTTAGGCCACCACTCCAGGTTGGGTGCCATGATTCTTGGATGGAAGCCTCCCCTGTATCTGTGCACATGTGGACATGTGTGAGTGCCTCTGTCTGTCTGTCTGTCTGTCTATATCTACCTCATCTACCATCTGTTGTCTATGTATTTATTTGTCTGTCATCTTTTATCTGTGTGCTATCATATTTATCCACCTGTCATCTATCTATGAATCATCTGTTATCTGTCTACATCATCTATTATCTATATCTATCCATCTATCATACCTGTCTATTGTCTATGCATCTATCATCTATCATTTCATCCACCTGTATCATCTGCCATCTGTCTCATCTATCAATCTATCACATCTCCCTCTCTCTCTCTCTCTGGCTATCATCTATCTATCTATCTATCTGTCTGTCTATCTATCTATCTATCAGTTGTCTGTCATCTACTGAGCACAGGTCTCATCGTCGTCTTGTCGGCGTAGGAGTGAAGCTACTGTGACACTGAACAGGCTGTGACCTGTGCACAGAGGCACCCTGACACCTCTCTCTGCTTTATGTCCCATATTCAGTGCATTGTTCATTAAAAATCCCAAATGAACGTGTACCAAGGGCTGCGTATACACGGGGCACTATTTTAGACATGGCAGGAGAGCAATAGAAAGAAAACTCACAGAAAACATTGT